GCTCCTCTGCGCTCACGATTTGTTACTTTGCTCTATAAGGCCCAGGTACTGGAGGCGCTAAATGTATAAGAAAATTTTTCCGAGGCAGAAAAGGGAAACAACTGGTCGGTTTACTCCACGCGAGACCGTGGCCATCAAGACTGATTGTCTCTAAAGAATTTCATTTAATGTGTAAGTAGTGAACGATAAGTTAAACTGTCGAGCATCAAAGAATGTTCTAGTTATGAAAGAAGGTTAGAGAAAATTAGAATCGATGAGAAAAACTGTTCAGACGCTTCAGTTCTCTGATGTGCTCCTAGAGCAAGCCCGGCAAGACTAACGCGGAAATGGACGTGGGAGAAATAAAACAAATTTTTTTCGTAGTTTCCTCGAGAAGGCTTTGGAACCGGTGAGGGGAAGGATATAAGGAGGTTGTTTTGGAGCTAGAAAGCGCAATCTGCCAATGCGCCCTTTGTACGTTTCTCTTGAGACGTACATCGCATATGTTGTCTGTCTTGACCCGAAAAGGGAATGGAATAGGTTATTTGTTAAGATGTATTTTGCAGTTCCTAGATTTTAACGTTGAGGTAGGCAATCCGGGATTCTGAAGTGCTCTAGGAAACGTTTAATAAAATTGTTTTGAATTGTGTTATCGTCTATTTGTTTCAGGTGAAATGAGAAAGAATAGATTTTGACAAATGTCGTTGGCACGTTTTGCTTCTGAATTGTCCTCGTAGAAGGAGATCGCCATGAATGTGGTGGAAATTAGCGAAATATGGTTGGAGTCTCTCGTCTGGGCTATTTTTGCTGGATGGGTTGCCTGGCTTTTTCTCCTGAAATTCCTTTGCTGGAAACGGAGGACCGTGAAAGCTTTCTGCGGTTAGAATGTTTCCGCCGAGAAGACCTGGTTTGTGTTGAGAGAACTGTTAAATGAAGCTGATCTTTGTTCCAGTGTTTCTCGTCTTGTTCTATAGTGTCTAATAGGCGAAGGCGCGATGAGTGTGAGAGTGTTTTTTTGAGCGAAGAAGCGCAGAGAATTGATCTGGTTACTTTCACGTGCGTCTTTCAAAAGCAGCGGATAGATGTGGGGGTCTCAACTCAGAAAGAGAGGAGAGCGCTGCTCAAAGTGATTCGTGCTGAGTAATTTCTTCAAGATGGGAGACTGTAGACAAAAGCAGGTATTGTATTGCATTTTTAAATTGTCTAATTGTTTTAGATGGGAGAATCAAAGTTGTAACTTTTCACTATAATATGTGATAGGTGTCGCTTGCTTGTTATCGTGGTAGAAAGAACCGGCCGAAAATGAGGTGGATTTTACGTTCGATATAGAATTCTTTTTATGCTTTATATATTTATTTTTTTCCTGAAGTGTCTGATTAAAAAATGTCATGTGAAGGTTTCAGTTTTTGTAATTTGTGAAGCTCAGTGGATCTTTTTTTATCCTGACTTAAACAGTTTTTTAAAAGTAGCAGGGTGAGGTTTTAGATGTCCCAATTAGGAGACATATAACTGTAAATAGTATTTTGGAAAGAATGAAGTTTTTTCATGTGTTTGAATGTGAGCCTTTCGTCCGACAAGTGAGCAAGAAAATTTCTACCGTTATTGAAGTTTTAAAAGGTAAACAGTTACCAAGATTCGGGAGATTCTGGGTCATTAAATCTGAATTGAGGGTTTTTAAGACACTGATCAGAGAGAAGTTGAGTATGCTTTTGAAGCTTGAACTGAAGATATGGATGATTTCTATCTTTTGCAAGAAAATCGCTATCGATACATGGCTCTTAATTGTGGGGTGGGAAAGTTTGCTTGATTTCTTTTATAAAACTGTTCAGTTTCGGGTAAAAGAAGAACTACTGCTTTTTGTCTCTGAACGAAAATTTGAACTTATAGAAGGGATTTTTTTATATAAAAACATCGGGAAAAAACGAAGCTGTAAATTTTAACAAAAATTTTGTTTGGAGGTAAGAATATTTGAGACTGAAGTAAGGTGCTCGGAATTCTACGAACAAATGCAGTAACTAAAAAAATTCAAAGACATCGGCAAAAAAAAAAATACTGCTTAGGGATTGACACGCAGGTTTTAATTAAAGAAGCCCCAACTTTTGGTTTGCAATAAGAAAAAGATGGTTTTTCAATTTTAATATTTAGTCTTTGTACAAAGCTCTCATTAGATGTTGATTACGGGAACGAAAGGGCAACCTTTGTCAATAAATAAACATGATTTAGAATCGAAAATAAGAGATAAGTCATGCTAGTGCTTTGTTTAGGAAGGATAATAGAATGGCCCACTTGAAAGCAGTAACAGAATTCTTACTCAAATGGAAAATCTCGGAACTACCGACGTTTTTTTTTT